CACCAAAGTGTCTTGGAGTATTTAGCTTTCCAATGTGAACTTTTCCACGTGTCCCAGGAAAGTGTAGGAGAGATTTATCCCCTGCCTGCTGCCAGACATCACAGAAAATCAGCACTAAAGGAGCCTGGCTCGCTGGAGGAACGCACCATTTTTTGAGAAAGCTCTTCTGAATCCTCCTAATCTTGTGCAGAATCTTTTTGTCTTATCCCATCAAAGTGTGACAAAGCCTTTCCATGGGGTTTGTTTTAGGGATGTTTGTAGTTCAGTGTGGTTTCCCTCACTGACATGAGCGCTGTGGCTGCTGTTCATTGTTAATTGTGTCTGTTCCAGAGAAGCCCCCAGGCCCTGCTGGCATGACTGATGGGCTTTGCTGTCCCTGGGGGTTCCCCAGGGGATGGGGCACAGGTGAAGCTGGAGATGTCCAGGGAAGGGCTGGTGTGGCCCTCACTCTCCTCTTTCCTCACTTTCCTCTTTCTCCGGGCAGCCCCTGCCCAGCTGTCCTGGGGCTGCTCTGGGGAGATGCTGAACTGTGCAGGGTGTGGGTTCTGTGCTTCAAGGTGAAGACTGTAAATGGATTTGGCAAAACTCTTGTAGGTTTTGCATGGCTCACCTGCAGGGCATGCCCTTTGAGACCCATGAAGCTCCCTCCTCCTCTGACTCTGTCCCAAAATCTTACCAATCTCGTATGTTTTGAAAATAAAGGCACAAGAGCTTGGTGCTGTGCTGTTTTGGCTGAATCTGACATAGCCAGGGAGTCCCTGGGCTCTGACTGGGGCATCCAGGCTTTTCTGGTGTCTGGGAATAAATTCAAAATTAATTTCTCCCTTCCTCCTCCTTGGGGGGAAAAAAAAGAAAAGGAAGAAAAGGAATGATTGGAGCTTGCTGAGGGTTCTCTGTTAAACCATTAACTGTGCACAGCTTGTCTCCCAACAGCCCCCGAGGCCACAGTCCTTCATCCTCCCATCCATCTTGTGCCTGTCATGTCCCTGCTAAAATCAAGATGTTTCTGTGGAGGAGGAGTGGAGACCCCTTGCAGGTGTGGCTGCACACTGTGGTCTGTCTCAGATCACAGATCCTTTCATGCTTTTTTCCCCTCGAGTTCTGTGCAGTGTGTGCTGAGCAGTGCAGAGTGAGGCCACTGCCCGAGCTCCAAGCCCACCCCCTCACCGTGTCCTTCCCCAGCCACCAGACCTGGCAGAAAATCACCTGCAGGATGCTCTGAGCCTTCAGGGGGAGTTCCTTGTTCTCTGTGCCCTGAGACACTTCCCGGTGGGGTCAAAACTGTCTGCAGTCCTCCTCTTTACCAGTGTCCAGGGAGGGCTGGGGTGTCTCTGGTGTGTCCCCTTGACTTCTACACCTGTAAAGCTGCAGTCCTGTGTCAAATCCCACCTCAGGGAACATTTGGTTGCCACCAGTGCATAAATCACTTGGCAAGTGACAGGATTCTGTGGCTCTCTCCCATTCAGAGGAGTGGAAGGGAGCTGTGGGGACTGGAAATGAAACCAGATATATTTTGGAGTGTAGGCTGTCCCCTGCCCCAGTATTTTGTTTTTATTGACATTGCCCTGTGTCCTAGTCCAGCCCCAGGCTCTCCTGAAGCAGAACACAGAGCCTGGGGGATAAGGGAGGTCAGGTGAATGAGCTCAGAGACTTTCAGAGACTTCATGAAGAAAAATAAAAGAATGACTGACATCTACCCCTCGGTCAACCACACATTGTGATAGCAAACCACATGTCCAGCAAACAAGTATATAAACATGAAATACAGTTTTATTGTTTATTTCTGTACAGTATATCACTCTGGATACTTGATATTACATTGCCTGGTGGGGTCCCCAACCTGGCGTGTGGCCCTCGTCCCCAGAGGGTCACATCATTCCACACTGGATCCAAGCCTTGGATGTGGCTGTGCCCTGACCAGCAATCACTGCCTGCTCCTTTTGCCAGTGCCTCGTGTGCTGGTGATGGTTTTAATCAGCAGGAAACATCTGGGAAGTTGATGGATGATGTGATGGTGATACACACCACCTACAGGGTCTCCAGAGTGAGTGTATTCATAAAAATCTGGTAGAAACCAATGCTGGCAGGAGACTTTGGTTACTGGAAGTCTGGTTTTATCCCAACACGTATTTGTATCAATTCTTTGTAAGAGCTGAACATTGGCTGGCCTCAGAGGGGTTAATCATCATCTGAAGTGGAGCTGAGTAATTGATGTTGCTGCATCAAAACGTTTCCCTCTTCCCATCCCCCTCGTTCCCCCCACTTCCCCCCAAAAAGAAATTCTTGGCTGATACTCAAAATCCAGTTCAGTTCTCACTGTGCAAGTATTAAACTGTGGGTCTTTTCTTTCAAATTTCTGGATTTTTATGGGCACAATTGGTCTGTTAACAGGATTTTTTTTTTTGTGGTTTCAATGCATTTATATCATTGACCTTTGCTTTAAAAAGTGTCTGACAGACTTTGCTGGGCTGGAGCTATAAAAAGGAGTGTTGTAAGGGGGCTTTATTCTGTGGAAGCAATGACCACAGGCAAAGCTTTATATTTGCTGAGTGATTTAATTCTTGCACATGCAGGACTTGGCTCTGTGCCATGTGTAACATGTTGAGAAAAGGTCTGCTCAAGAGGCATTCAAACCAAACTTTCCAAACAGTCTTTTTTTTTTTTTTTTTTTTAAGCTTTCTTTCCTGTTATTTCTAAGCTAACAACTAAAATCAAGAGACTGTGCCCCAAAATGCTGAATTAAGTCTAGCAGGGTCATTGGGGAAATAAACCTCCCTGAAAGAAATGAAATGGGAGTCTGGGTGGAAGCAGGGAGGAAGAGGAGGGTGTCATTGAGAAAAAGGCTGAATCAGGGGCAGGAGGAGTCAAACAGGGCTCTCTGAACTCCAGGAGGAAACCAGGGAGGGTGGAGATGATGCAGCTCAAATGCCTGGTCCTACAAAGCCCTGCTCATATAGTGCATCCCCAAAAGCTGTGTTTTCAGGCTGAACATCCGATTTTCCCCCTCATAGCACATTCTTTCCCCTGCCTGTCCCTGCCCTCTTACAGGAATAGCAGTAGCAGTCAGGAGCAAATAATAAAAAGCTGCTTTTTGTTTGTGCTTATTTTAAACACTGTGACAACGTTTGGATTAATGTTGGGTCTTGTGAAAAGCTCTTTAAAAGTCAAACATACTGAGCTGCTTACCAGCCAAACATACTGAGCTGCTTACCAGCATGCCTTTGAATTTTGCATCTGCCTTCTTCACTTCCAGATAATGGCCTGGAGAGCAAGGAAACATCATATTTCTTTCTTCTTGTTGTAATCAGGCCATTAAATATGCTTGAGATTTCAGATTCTGCAGCTATGTAATTGTGTAGCCCCTTGGGCTGAGGTCCATATTTTGGTGAGTAGTTTCTCTTCCTTTGGCAAACAAACAAACAACACAAATACTGAATGATGCTAATTTCTAACAGAAGCAATGCCTTGCCCAAAACGTTGCAAACTACTGCACTTTAGTTAAAAACAACACATCAACAGTGCATCAAACATCTATTAGTTTTAATCAGCAGATTTTCCTGGAGGCTTTTAGGAGCAAATTGTGCCTTGCTCACTCTTCCCAGGAGGAGAGGGGGAACAATGGCTGAGCTTTGTGCAGGCACAGTGAGCCCTGAAATGCTGACTTTAAAAGGTATTTCAAAGGTGTTTCAAAGGTGTTTGAACAGGGTGGAGGTTATTCAGGGGAGAGCTCAGAGGGTGATGCAGCATGTAAGGGCTGGCTGTGGGTGGTATCACCTCCTCTGCAGTAAATAAATTGCAGATAAATCCATCACCTGGAGGGGACCAAGTGCTGTTTATTTGGGTTGCTGTCCTGGTTCCCTGCAGCAGGCAGGGCTGGGGGGTTCCTGCAGGTCCCCCAGAGCTGTGGGGGATTTGCTGGGGCACTGGGTGCTCTCTGTCCCTTGGCTTGGCCATTCCTGGTGTGCAGGTGGCATGAGCCACCTCCAGCAGTGGCTGTGCCCAGGCTGGATGGGAGGGAGCATTTCTCCATTCCTGTGATTCCTCTGAGAGTTGAGCTAAATGCTGCCTGTGTATAAATCTGTTATGAAAGCAAAGCGCTGGAAGCCTCTGTGTGGAGAGAGCAGCATGGAAAGCCAAAGGAATGAGGGTAACCTTTGCTTTTTATAGCTCCTGGTATTTGTTTGCTCATGGCAGCCACCAGCAATGCCCTCTGTGTTCACAGTGCAGTGCTCCACCCTCCCTGCAGTCACACTGTGCCCGAGTAAACTGCTCCTGTCTGGGTCGGCTGCAGTGGAAGCCTCTGCTGGGGAAGGGAGAACCCTCTCCTGTCTCTCCCTGGCTTTACTGGGTAGAATTCAGCCAGAGGGAGGGGCCTTGCCCAAGTGTCCATGAAGATGTGGAGGGAGAAATGGGATGATGGAGGAGAAGAGGAGGGAGTGCAGGTGGCTGACACCTGCCCTGGCTGGAGCCAAGCAGGACACACGAGCTGCTGCCCCAGCTCCCAGGGGAGCCCGGAGAGCAGGTGGTGAGCAGGGAATTGTCCGTTCACACGAAAATCTGGGAGGTGCTGCTCAGCACTGGTGTGGAGGGGAGAGGATGACCCAGGTGGGTGCTGTGGGGTTGTTCAGGCACAGTGACCATGGTGTGCCAGTGTCCTGCAGGACACAGGGCTGGTGCAGGTGCTCTGTGGAGCAGGGGCTCCAGAGGGGCTGTGGGAGCATCTGCTGGGGCTGAGGCAAGGGGATGGCTTTGGGCCAAGGCTTTCTAGAATGAGCAATGATTTCTGGTGCCCAGCTGGAAATTGCTGTCAGGGCAACTGGCTTGGCAGACACTTGTCCTTTCTTGAACTCCCCATCACTTTTTGGAAATGGTTGCCCCTGGGTTTCATGTCCTACTTGCAGCAGAAAAAAAGAAAAGGAGTCCAAAACCCTGCCTGCAGGTTTGTGCCTTGGATGCCTCCCAGCACAGCCACATCTCACTGTTTGTTTTTCCCTCTGCAGCTCTGGGAAGTGCCAGTGCAAAGTTGGTGTCACGGACCTGAAGTGTGACCGGTGCAGTGAGGGCTACTACAGGTTCAACGAGAGCACGTGTGAGCCCTGCCAGTGCAACAACCACTCCCAAACCTGCGACAGCTCCACGGGTGAGGATGTGCTCTTGTGAGACTTCACCTGCCCCCTCCGTCTCTGGTTTTTCTCTTCTCCTTCAGCACACTCTGCTCTTATCCCCTTCATCTGCATCTTTTTGCCTTGTGTACCCAGAATCTTTACCTTAAAGCTGAAATGGAAATGCAAGGTTGGGGTTGGTCTCCTTTGGAGGAAGGCAGTGAAAGCTGTGTGCTTTAGCCCAGGCCGCAGTGCAGAGCCCGAATTCAGCAGCCTGTATCAGAAACTGGGGCTCTATTGTTCTCTGCACTTACACAAACACACAACATGGGCTTTTAAAGACCTTTTGTTTAACTGCTGTTTACCTGGAAACATATACTGTGCTGGCACTGACGTAAGGGGACTTGCTGCCACAGATAACAGGGTTAGAGCTGGTAAAAACTGGCAGCATCTAATTAATATTGCCCACCCTATATAAATTAGCCTTGTTCATTTTCTCACTCAGGCAGATGTTGATGGAGTGCAAATGTCGAGGCACCTGTGCTTGAAGAGCTTAGGGAGGGCAGGGGGAGCCTAATTGCTTTGCCATCTCGACTGGAAGGAGAGATCCTGGAGGGGCACTGGACTGCCTGCACAGCCCCCACTTCAGCCACAGCACTCCAAATTCCAAATTCTCCTCAAAACTTCCAGGCTGAAAGGCAGTTCTGTAATATTTATCCAGGAGCTTAGAAAGGGGTAATAATTAAAAGTAATGTTGCAGAATTTGTTGGCAGAGAGGCAAAGCTCATGAAATCAGGTATTTCTGAGCAATTTGTGCCTGTGTGTTCCCTCATGGGCTGTGTGTTTGCAGCAGAGGAATGCCCTGGCCCGTGGGCACAGGGTCTGTGCTCCCTGAGGGTGAATTCCTGCGTTCCCTCGAGGATGAATTACTGCATTCACTCCAGTTCTGAGCTCTGTGTGCTTATGTCCTACCAGTATTGAAGGATACGAGGCTGTCACTGAAGCTGTGTGCACATCAGCTGTCTTACTGATTTGGAGCTGGGTGTGTGGGTTTTGTGAAGGAGGAGGATAATCTGCTCTTCCTTTTTTTCCCCTTTTTTTCTCCTGCTGCTCTCGATTTATGAAAGAAAACCCAGCACAGACCTTGCTCCTGGGATGGGGCTGCTCTTTCTGTTGGGATTGCCCAGTGCTGCCCACAACATCATTGCAATGCAAACCCTTCATTTTGCTTAAAGACCTCTTGTTGATTTGACAAATTTTTAAAAAATTTTCTTTTAAAATTTTTCCTCCATCTGCTCTATTTGCTGCTGTGGCTGAGGGAACCAAACGAAACCAGAACAGAGAACGAAGTTGATTAAAAATTAGATCGGACGCCTGCTCTAGAGACTGCACTCTGTGTGACCTCCCCAGCTTTACATCAATTCTGTGTAGCCTTTGTCCAATTTTCTAAGTTTTTTCCTATTAATGCTATACTTTGGGCTCCCTCTGCTGGCTCTGCAGCCAGCTCCTGCTTGGCATGGCTCTGTCCAGGAGGAATATTTAAAATTACTGGACATAAATAAATAACTTGGGCAGCATGAGCTCCCCAGCCGACAGCACTTCCTCTGGCACGACCCTTGTACCCCGTGGTGTGTCTGTGCACTGAGGTGGGCTGGTGCTTCCCAGCCGGGGTCCTGTGAGCTCTGATCCTTCCTGAGGGCATTATCAGGAGGAGAAATGCTATTAATTATTAAGGCTCTCCACAGCGATACCTGATTGCGTGCCCGTGCGAGCTCTGCCTGGCTGAGCAGCGTGCTGGCTCAGGAAACAGCATTTCACAGGGCTGCTGGAGATGGATGGGGGTGATTTCTGCTGATGGGAAAGACATTGCTCCTGAAATGACCAAGGCAGCACAGGTGTGATTCCAGATTTATGCCCCTCTTAGTGCCTGGGGAGCACGGTCCAAGGCAGCCTTGCTCTGACCAGGCACATGAACTTCCCTGTCCAACACATCCATCTCACTGAAACAGTTGATCCAGGTTTGCATCTGGAGAAACCAAGCACAGCAGATAATTTTCCCCTCTAAACCTGACATCTCTCCCACAAAAACCACTGGCTCGTGCCTGACAGGCTGCTGAGGGAATAGCAAACAGTGTGTGGGAGGTGATGCTGAGCAGGGAGTGCTGGCAGGGCCCTGCTGGGTGGGTGAATCAGCCACTTCCAGGGTTTGCTTCCTGCCCTTGGCATCAGGGTTGGCTGCCAGGACACGCCAAGCTGGCTGGGGATGCTTGGCTGTGGAGTCATTGCTGTGGGAATTGAGGAGCAGCAGCCGTGTTGGGCTTGTGAGGGAGCCAAACTGTTCTGATATTAATAAGAAAATCTGCTGTGGTCTTTATAACAGTCAGCATAAACCTCAGTCAGGATTTTTTTCCCGTGGTTGATGTTGATATGAGACTTCCCCATCCCCAGCAGCTCTGCTGTATCAGCTCAGTGGATCTGTCTGTGCTCTCCCTGCTCTGGGCCACTCCACTTTATAGAAGGGGCTGTTGCCTTTGCAGAACCTGGTACATGAGATTTAATCAAATCTTCCCTCAGCTCCCTGCCACCTCACCGAGGAGCCAGCTGAATTACAGCATGTTCCTGGTGATGGATGGGCTTTATATAGAGGCTGTGCTTTTGTAACTAAGGAGATTTTTCTTCTTGGTGAGAGTAGTGTCAAAATGCAATTTGGAGGCCATTAGGACACGGTGTCTGTGAAGACATGGCACGTCGAGTTTCTGATTCAGGGGCTTCCCCAGGAAGGGCAGCTGGCTCATGGGAGCCCCCACTTCTCCTCTGGTTCTCTGGGAAGGTCAGTGGCTGCTGCTGCCTTGTCCTGGGCTGGAGGAGCTGGAGCCATGCTGGTAGGATGGAGCTGCCTGTCCCCAAAGCAGGACAGTGGCATGTCCTCGCCCCTGACCACCAGCTCTGGTGTACAGGAAGGGGCTGCACACAAAAAACCAAAGGTGTAAACCTGAGGGACCCCTCATGAGAGTGGGGGACTTGAAGCATCAGTGTTCCATCTCACTGGTACAAATGCAAACTGAAACTGCTTTCCTTGAGGAGAATTTTAACACTGATAACTCGTGTTTACCTGCAGTGACCTTTTAGTGGTGAGCTGTGGGGCCTCTCTGCTGGGGCCACCTGCTTTTTCACATTATCTGTGTGAAATGTGAGGGGGATGAGCATCAGAAGGTCATAAGAGGCCAGGGCCATGTTTTGGCCAGAGGGCATCCAAAACCACCTGTGAGCTCTGATAATTGAGTGTGTTCCACGTGGATTCTTGCTCCAAATGTTCTGCTCCAGTTCCCGCTGCTGAATGTTTGCTTGTTCTCCTCTCTGTTCCACAGGCACCTGCCTGGACTGCCAGGAGAACACTGAGGGGAAGCACTGTGAGCTCTGCAAGGAGGGTTTCTATCAGAGCACCCACGGCTGCCAGCACTGCCCCTGCTCCATTGTGGCATCCACTGGCACCTGCCACATACGTGAGGCTCCTGTTTTGGTCTAATTCCTCCTAATGAAGGATTCTCTCCTCAGTTAGATCACCCCTCAGAGTGTGCCAGCCCAGCAAGGTGTTTTACAGCCTGTGGAGCTCCTGTTTGTGGGCACTGCAGGCAGCACCTGCTGTGATGGGTCCCTGGTGCTTGTGTTGCCTCTTGTGAGAGCAGCTGTGCAGGGGAGGGATCAGAATCACAAAATGGTTTGGCTTGCAAGGGATCTTAAAGTTCAGTTCCAGCTCCCAGTGTGTGCTGCAGTCTGCTTTGAAGGACCTGCAAGGTTTTTGCAGAGAAGCTGCTGAACTTGTGGCAGCCAGGAGGGGGGCAGGAGATGTTCAGCAGTGCCATGTAGCCCTCCATACTTCTGAGTCTGCCTCTGAACATCTCCATGGGACTCCATGCAGATTCCCCAGTGTAACTGAGAGAAGTCAGAGCTGTAATAGCCATATGTAAGATGTTTTTGATATTTCCCTTATCAATTTTGCAAGCAAGATGCTTCTGGCATTCTATAGGCCTAAAAGTTCTTTTGGATTGCAAACATCCCTGATACAGTTCCAGCTGTTCTCTGAAATTGCCTGTTTGAGATGGAAATGTTCAGGAATAATTATCTATTTCCTTAGCAATGTGCCGAGTTTGCTCTGTGAGGTTGGTGCAAGGCATCAGAACTCCCCAAAGCTGTTTTTTCCCCTACTAACAGAGCAAGTGCTGCAGTTCAAAAATCGTGTTTCCAACTCAAAATTTGAGATCAGCCAATACTTGGTGACTGCTGATTTTTGTCAGGGCTCCACAGAACAAACCCCACAGCACGAGTGTCTCTGCAAGGGGCTGTGGCACATCCCTGCTTTGCTTTCTGTGTTCTCCAGAGCCTGGTGAGAGCATCCCGAGGTGTGACAAGTGCAAACCAGGGTACACTGGCCTCAACTGCAACCAGTGTGACAAGGGCTACTACAACTCGGACAGCATCTGTGTGAGGTGTAAGTGCAACGGGAACGTGGACCCGGCGCTGTCCCCCAGCGTGTGCCGGCCGGACAGCGGCGAGTGCATCGGCTGTCTGTACCACACCACGGGCTTCCACTGTGAGCTGTGTCAGGAGGGCTACAGCAGGGACTCCGAGGGCACCAACTGCACCAGGAAAGGTAAAATGTGCTGCTCGAGTCACTGTCAAGGCTCACTGTGCAGCTGCCCAAAGGTTGGGGAGGGAATGGTGTTAATTGTTCGTGTTGGTTTAGATTCATCTGGTCTCTGGTGCAGAGAAGAAAACCAAATCTTTGTAGTAGAATCACAGAATGAACTAGGTTGGAAAAGACCTTTAAGATCATCTAGTCCAACCTATGACCTTGACACCCCATCAACTAAACCATGGCACTGAGTGCCATGTCCAGTCTTTTTTTAAACACTTCAAGGGACAGTGACTCCACCTCCCTGGGCAGGTGATTCCAGCGTGCACTCATTGGTGCCTACTGGCCTTGAAGGGTGGTTTAGAGTTAGCTCTGTAACCACCCAGATTCCAAACCCTGGCAGGCACTGCTAGTGAACAAGCTGGAAAAATACACTACTGTCTATTTGTAGTGTATTTAATGTAGAATGAGAGAAAAGGGTTCTGAAATTGCTCCTTCAGTGGTTATCTGGAGGTTGGTTTTCATGGTGGATGTCCAACACCATGCATGGAAACAGTACCAGTGTGATGTATCAGGTGAAAGAGCCCAGAGTTCAGGGAAGTATTTGGGCACAAATTTGTCCTTGTCCTGGACAGAGATTCAATTCAGATCTTCCATCAGGAGCTAATGTGGTTTTCAGTCCTGTGCTGCTCTCTAGGTGTGTAATCAGAGAGTCCTTTCCTGCTCAGGGACATGATCAGTACAACAAAGTTGGATGCTCATTAGCTGTAACAGGGCTGGAAATGGCACTTTTACATCAGCTCATCCATTACCTCCCCCTGAACAGCTCTGGCTTTGTGCAAGGATCCACATAACCTTGCTTCATTAAAACCTGTATGTATGGCTTTGCTTGGGTACTTGCAGTTTTCACCATTCAGTTTTGTTTTAATGGCATTGTTATAGCCAGTTCCCGATGTGGGGAAAACCTTTCCCCTTTCAAGGGGGCTGGGACATGCTCCTTGAGCTTTCCTCTCTCCCTGACACTTCTGTTTTCCCTTTTTTATTAAACAATTAAAAAGATGTCCAGCTTCTTTCCAGTTCCTTGAACAAAAGTTGCCTAAAAACTGACATGCTGAGGTTAATGAGCATGAACTTGTTTTAGGTTAAGATTTTCATGAATCACCAGTGCATTTGAGTGGCATCTGGAGTGAAATCATCACGCAGGCTCTGTTTCAGTGGCTGCAGGTGAAATGAGACAGCAAGTTCTGTACAGCCTGGGCAAAACTCATGAATCCACAGGGGCTGTCCAGAGTCTTAAGCCTGACCAGGATTCTGTTGCTTTTAGGTCGGATAGAGAGGATATTCAAAGGCCCAAAGAAGCGTTTCCAGCCCCATACAGGTGGTGTTCCTGCTGCCCTGGGGAGGCACAGCAGGCACTCGGTGCTGGTGCAGTGTGGCTCTGTGCCACCGCAGCCTCGCCGGGACCGGGCACAGCCTTGTGCCAGAGCTCCTCCAGCGCAGGAGGCAGAGCAGCTCTGCAGAGCCAGAGCCTCAATCAAGCAGCTGGATCCGAGGCTGCCGTCAGAGCTGCCAGAGCAGCCCGTGGAGCGAGCAGCTGCTGCTCTCAGGGAGCTGCTCTGGGACATCTGGAGAGCTGGCACGGCCGGGAGCGGAGCAGGCAGAGCCCGACACTTCTCCGTGCCGGTCCTGGGAGAGCCAGGAAATGTCTTCACCCCAGGCCTCCGTGCCAGCCCTGAGCTGGTGCTGACTCACAAATAAAGCCCAGAAAAGTGCTGCTTCCTTGCTGGTGAATCAGCCATTGTCTCGGTTCTGTTTTTTCCCTACTTATAGCTACTGGCAGGGTTTGCCAAGGATTGAGTGTTGGAGAAGGAATTTGGAAAAGATGACTGAATTCCTCATGCCCTTTTCCCAAAGCCAAAAATTTTCCAGGAACCTCTTGCTCCTGTCATGTTGCTTCCTATTGCAAAATTTTGCCTGTCATGCCATAGAGAAATGCTTTCTGGCACTCAGCATCCTGATTGTCCTTATCAGCCTAAGGCAGGAGCTGTAGAGAGCAGAGGAGCTGCTGCAGGGAGGGGACTCTGGGCAGGAACCTCAGTTTAGGTGTGTGATGCCCCTTGCAGAGGAATTTCTTTCTCGATTGCCTGAACTGGGAACGTGACAGCCCAAAGTTAACTTGTGGGAGTTCCCCTGAGGGCCCGTGGCAGGACATGTGCTGAATATTTCCAGCTCCTGTTGCCATTGGAGATGCAACTTAGTGCAAAATTAGTCCTTCGGAAGTGACTCTCCTCCTCAATCATAATTAGTAGATGTTCAGGAGAGCTGGAAGCTGGATCTTTACAGCATGGCACCATCAGCTGTAATTGCTGCAGCTGTACGTGGATTTAAAATGAAGTTGCTTTTCTGTTGGCAGGAAGAGAGTGGGAAAGAGGATGCAGAGAGTCCTGTGGAGCAATAGGTGCAGAGAACATTCTGGCTGATTGAGGCTTCAGCTTGTGGAGTGTTCCTGTTGCCTGGACTTGAGAATCTAAAATAGATCAGGTTATTCATGTGAGGAAATGCTTTATTAGCTACATTTGTGAGCTTAACACTACAGATTTATGGTGCTCTCTGAGGCCTGTAGCTCAACAGGTTTGATGCAGGCATAATGAATTCCCATCCCACTTCTGAGATCTCAAGGTTAACGTGACTCCTGAACTGAGAAGGGACTTATCCCATGGCTGCTGGAAGCAGGGCAGGTTCTTGGCTATTTAGTGCCAAGGAAAAGACAGAGCACAGCCTGGTAGTTCCATGTTCTGATCCTTCCTGTGTGCACCTATGCCAGCAGCTGAAACCAAACCAGGATCCCAGCTGGCCTCTGCTGTGTTCAAAAGCTGCTGAAAAACATCCACAGGGTTTTTTTGTTGTGATTTGGTGACCTTCTGCTTCTAGCTGTGTAGACTGGGGGTTTCTGTGTGGCTTGTGTATGACTTCATTTGAAAGCAGAACTGAGGTTATTTTGCCCTATTACCTAAAGTGGTGTAAACACTGAACCTGCTGCAAAATGCTGGGATGGCTGAGTGGACTTGTGGTTCATTTTTTCAGTTTTGATCTTGCAGAAATAATAATACTGTGAACAAAATCCTATGTCTGGTGCACTGGTTGTGAAGGGTTTAAGCTCCTGGAGTTACTGTGTCTGAGTGTGCAGGCCACACAGACATCAAGGGACACGTTGGTTCAGAGTCTAAACTTGCTGATCTTGGTAAAACCCCATTTTCCTGGTCTGAATAGGAGCTGGAGTGGAACTTGCTGTCATGAGCTCCTGTGTTGAACCCTGAATCCTGACTGCTGCACCTGTCCCTCAGCACCAGATTCTTTAGAGGAGTCCTGTAGTCCATGGGCATTTAATACACAGAATTGTATTAAAAACCCCAAACACAACCCTAGACAGACATTTTCTCAACTGCTTAGAGAAAATACAGTTTAGCAGGGTAGCCTTAATTGCCATAATAACTGTGATATAAATGTCAAATTTCTTATTCTTGTGTTTGATTTTCAGCTCAGCAGATTTTTTTATTGATCTCTTTTTGTTTTGTAGAAGCCACTCTTGGCCCAGAACCAACGGAGTTTACAACTTCTGCTCCAAATACCACCAAGGCCACATCCTTTTCCACAGCAGTGCTAAACAGTACTTTGTCACCAACAACTCTACAGACAATATTTCCCATAAGCTCCTCTGACAACAGCACCTCTGCTTTCGCAGATGTTTCGTGGACTCAGTTTAACATCATTATTTTGACAGTGATCATCATTGTTGTGGTCCTACTAATGGGCTTTGTGGGTGCTGTCTACATGTACCGTGAGTATCAGAACCGAAAACTTAACGCTCCCTTTTGGACCATTGAGCTCAAGGAGGACAACATCAGTTTCAGCAGCTACCACGACAGCATTCCCAACGCTGACGTGTCGGGGCTGCTGGAAGATGATGGCAATGAGGTGGCCCCGAATGGACAGCTCACGCTGACGACTCCCATGCATAATTATAAAGCTTAGAAGTCATCCAGCTCTTCCAAAGTTTGCTTTTCAAAAAGTTACAGGGCTTGTGGAGGGGGTGTCAGGATCCGTGCCAGGGCTCCACGCAGAGGAATTTGCTCTTCAGATACTCTCTGGTGCCAGGCGTGCTGTAGCTTGCAGGTGGACAGAAGACAGTGTAGTACATCTGAGTTTCAGGTAGTGTGGTGAAATGCATTCAGTGTCCTGTTCTCCATAAAGATCCATAGAATTCACTGTTGCTATAAACTGGATTATGCTGAATTGAAACATTTTTTATGAAGAGGTGGTGGGGTGGAGAGAGCAGAACCCGATGAGGAGTCAGAAGCTACTTGGTTTCCAGCCAACCCAACACTTGTGTCTTCATCCTTTAGTTTGAGAAGTAGCTCATGATTTAACAGTGGAATTTCAGGAAACAGATCTTTGGAAAGGCATCATCTTCATTCCTGACAGAAACTTACTTGAAAAGGAGAACAAAAAAAAAAGGGAAGTAATTGTTCACTGTACTACCAAAAGGCAAGTAGGAGGAGTGAGTTGCACACTTTAAAAAGTCACCATTATCTGTTCCCACTAAGCAGGAAAATGGGAAAAATTCTTAAGAACATTGAGTTAGGGAAGAGACACAGCTTTTCCCTTTCTGAGTATTTATACAGGGTGATGATGCTATTAAGACATAGCAATCCATTTTTTTCTAGAAGGAGTTAATGAACTTGTATAGTTTCTGTGCAAGGGAAGACGACAAGACATCTCAGGGTTGCCATGTAAAAATAAAAGCCAGGCTTAATACCCTACCCTGATAGAAATGGTGTGTTCTGTATATAAAATGTAATATATCTTCTTGGAATTGTATTTGTAATTATTTGTAAAAAGGACAAGCAACCAACTGACCAACCAAAAAATCCCCAACAATGAAACCATGAGCCCCTTCCCAACCTCCCCCACGCCCCAGGTCATGTTTTATCCTCTAGGTTTTAATTGTACAGCGGTTAGTGGTGTTGTTTAAAAAAGAAAAAACATGAGGATTGTTTAAAATACTGTAAATGAGATGGCAATATTGTTGGAGCTGGGCCTCTGGCAAACACCAACTGCTTAAAGCTTTTCTTCCACTGTCATTGAATAACTTCTTTTTTAGAGAAAATGTGAGTGTTCCCTACTTGTGTCTGTCAAATTTTGCCATTCCTTCAAATACAGAGTGAATGCCAGTGTTGCCATGACTAGGGCTGAGTAAGTGTCCAAAAATTGGATGCACCAATATATTCTTTGCTTTTAAGTCTCTATACAAAATGCAAATACACTGTCACAAACACGCCGAGAGCCTGGGCTCAATGGCTGAGGTTCTCCCAAGTGGGTGTTTGTGGTGTGGAGGGATCCCACTGCCATCCCTGCTGAGCTGACACGGCAGGGGGACGTGCTGCAGGGCTGAGCTCAGCCCCCTGAGGGCCAAAAGCAAAGATCTGCTGGATTTGGGTGGAAAGAGCTTTGGGATGAAGAGCTCACAGGACCCGATCTGCACCTCGAGGCTCGGAAGGTAAAAGGGCACAGATGCTTGGAGAATTTAAAGTGGCACAAGGTGGTGGTGGGGAATCAGCTGTCCAAAAAACACTACAGGGAACAGGTTTTACAGATTGCCAGGTTTTGGTGGGAGGCTGGTGGGCTGTTAGCAGAGAGAACAACTAACAGGCAGCACTGCACTGGGGGTCACACCATGGAGCTCCTGGGTTGGTACCTGCAGTGTGAGTGCCTCAGGGCAGGGGCTGTGCTTCCTGTGCCACCTGTCACACCCCTGGAAATCAAACTACTGCATGGAAACAGGGCAAGAAACAAATACTTCCCCTCACTCTTGCCCAACCTCAGAGCTGCAGCTGCATTGCTGTGTATGGTGGGGCAATGGTGATACAGGAGCTGGTGGATGCATCCTCTGAGCCAGGAAAAAGTGAATATTTCTCCAGATGAGAAATGGTTGAGAGAACATATTGGTTATTTATTTGTTTTTTTGGTGCTGTGAGGAGGTTTCTCTTATCTTTGGAAACTTGGTGGGGGGGAAGTAGGTGATTCAAACACATGCTCAAAGATGCCATTTCTGCCTCAAAAACTTGCTGTCTCATTTAAAGATGAGGCATGGCAAGTCAGAATGAAAATCATTGAGGATGACCAAGGGAAATGGTGAGGGCAGAGTGTGGAATTGCATATAGGCCCAAGCTGATGGAATAAAGCTGATGGAAAAGCTCCCATTGCCTGTGGTGGGCTTGGGTGAGGTCTCATACTTCAGGTAATAATTCTGGCTCGTGTCATTCAGAGCAACGTTACTTTTAGTTATAAAACGGGGGAGGACTGGAGGAGAAAATCTGGATATTGCTAATCCTCGAGTTACTCATCAGACTTATAAAGAGCAGGGTGGTGACAAAACAGAAAATTTCCTAGAAGTTGGAATTATTTAGAGGTGCTGATGTAGGGATACACTTGCACTTGGTCACTTCATGGGGTGGGGAAAGGTAATTTAGGAAGTGTTGGCTTCTGGGACTAATGCTAGCAAACAAATTGAAGGACACGGCTGTTCACTTTAATGTTTCTAAAATACTTCAGCAGATTTTTTCATCTCTGACACAAAACACCTCTTCCTTAAATTTTGCTGTGACTGTGGGTTGCTTTGTAACAGGAGCAGGCTTGGATTTTGTCTCACCGTAGAAATAGGGACCATCTGCTCGAGCAGAGCGTGGGCTCAGGTGCTGAACCCTCCTAGTCCCTGCCTGCCACAGCACAGGAGGTGTTGGCACCTGGGCTGCTTCTGACCTCCAAAGTAATCCAAAGGCTTTGTGTTTGGGAAGAGGAGGAGTGGGGATGCCCTGCAGGGTGAGACAGCTGCTGCCTGTGGATTGCACAGCTGGATGAAGGGATGGAGACAGCCTGGAACACGTGGTGGGAAGCTTGGTTGGGCAGGGGAGACCTGGCTGCCCAGATTTGGGTGGCTCAGGATGCTCCTGAACAGGGAGCACAGTGAGGACGTGGCACTGGCACCGTCCTTGTCAAAATGGCAGAATGACTCAGCAGGGACACAGCAGCCACCTCCTGCCACCCAGGCTTTGGCACACAGGAGCAACAGTAATAAAAGGAGATAGTGCCTCAGCAGGGAAAAAACAAACAACTTCGTGTTTGACTTTGGTGATGTGAGATCAGCTCCTCCGTGCTTTTATCAGTTCCCCTGGCACCACAGGAGGGGAAGAAGAAGCTGAGCTGGTTCTGTCTCCAGTCCCCTTGGGTTGGGTTGTATGTGGAGGAGTAGCAGAGCATTATGTGTGCCATTGCTTGTCATGAGGCTTCCCAGGTGCTGAGGTTTGTCCTGAGGTTGGGTAAGGGCAGCTAAACCAGAAGTGGACTCTCAGGGCTGTTCTGGGGCCCAGCTGAGCAGCCAGCGAGGCCAGGGTAGGGCATCTTGGTGACCTGTGGGGCTGAGGTGGCAATCCAGGTACACGTGGTGCTCCTGATGGGCACCTCTAGCACCTGGTGCCTGGGAGTGGTGCCCAGCTGCAGTGCTGGGGCTGTCACAGGAAGGGCACTGGTGGCATGGGACAGCAGCTGCAGAGCAGAGGGCAGGTGTGACAGGACAGGGGGCTGGGGGATGTAGGAAGGCGAATCCAGGCACGATCCTGGGCAGTGTGAGGGCACAGCTGCTCTGGCTGGGACGAGTCCAGCTGGGCAGAAAGGCAATGGGACAGGATGAGCAGATAAAGAGACAGAGCTGGGGTGGGGCAGCCTGTGCGGGGCTCTCAGCTCAGGAGAGCCCTTGGTGAGCAGAAAAGTGGTTGGGCTAATGAGGAGAGATGATCTCGAATCTCGTGGACCACTGTAGCTGGAAATAGCTACGAGGAGCACTAGCCCTGGGGAGCTGTCAGGAGATGTCAGCCACTGGAATGATAATTCCCTTGGACCAGGCTGAGCAAACTTAGCAAGCATTTCGGAAAGAGGAAGGGATATATCCAGCATCCTTCAGGTACCCTGGGCCAGTTAACCACTGCTGTACAGCATCATCCTCTTCAATGTCACAGGCAATGTAAATGTGGCAGAAAGTTTGCACAGTCTCCTTTAAATAAAGGATATAAAAATAGTTTTCTCTTTTAAGTGAAGTTTTCGAGTGAGCTCCCACAGGACTCTGCTCTTTATGTGTCAGAGGAATGGATTAAAATAAGAAAAATGTGGGCCTTAAAAGTTGTACTTGCTCCCATCTGAAACCCATCAGTCTCACTCTACATCCAAATACGGTGTCTCCCAAGCATATGCTATGCTTACAAATGCATTTCTAAAAAGAAAAAAAAAAAGTGTATGATTTGAATATATGTCAGAATTTATACAGAAGAATGTTATTTAAAATGAATAAAAATAAATGTATATAGTTTGTATCTATGCCACTTGGATTTTTGCATTTGTGTTTCTGTTCATTGAATTTCAGCAAGTCTTCCCAGTGACAGAAAGGATTGAATCCAATCTCATTCCAGTAATAACATTTGTTCCAAGAGAATTATTCCTTCATTATGCCCCTGTATGGGAGATGAGAACCAAGGCACAAAAATGTTTTCTACCATAGATATTCATAAGCACAGTTGACATTCTGTGTCGGAAAATCCAGCTAAAAAATGAACCCTCTGATCTCTTGTGTGTGCTGTGAACCGTCCCAGCCCTCAGCTATGTTTGGGAGCTCCACAGGCACTGGCTGTTTTCCCACTGTTTTCTGTATCATTCACATGGACACATTTTGTCAGAGATGTGAATCACTAACAATGAAACCCTCAGAGCAAAGCTGGAAGTGGGATGAGGATATTGTATCAGATTTTTCTTCGTGACCACAGATGTCTTCCAAAGGCCATCTTTGTTATAGATATTCTGAAATCCACATCTGTAGCATCAGTTCTGGGAGTGTTTGCAGAGGGGCCTGTGGAAAACTTGTATTTCCTTCTCACTTGGCAGAGTTAGGAAATTGATTTTTGTTTTGCAAACACAACTGCTGAAGGCTGTTTTTGGTGAAAGCTGTGTCTGACTCTTCAGCCCTTATTAAGCAAAGAACTTGGAGAGGTAAGTGAGAGAGCACGTGGTTTGAAGTGTTCATTCAGATGTTTGACTGAGCCAGAGCTGTGTAAGGGCCACACTGGTGAAATTCAAGGCACTTTATTGAGACCTGATTTGCATTAGCAGAGCAGTTGGATTGTGCATGACTTAACTTAGGAAGAATCTTGCTGTGAACTGTGTGAAGATGAGGCAGAGCTGAGTCTGAACCAGGTCCCCAGAGCAGGGAGTGAGAACAGGAGGGTGAGGGGGACTCGTGCTCAGCTGATGGTGACATCTGCCCTCCTTGTGCCAGCACAGCCTAGCACAGCGAGCAGCTGGCCCCCATCCTGCTCAGCTCAGCCCTGCCACTGCACTCACCACAAGCCCTTTCCCACATCCCTTAGGACTCTGCCTCAGGTGGGAAGGATCCCAGGCTGCCTTGAGAAGAAAGAAAGTTCCAACACGGCTTCCTGGCATGAGAGTTTAGTGTAATCTCCCCAAATGTGCTACTAATGAACTTAAGGTTAAATAACATTAAGCAGATTATCCAATGGCAAGTTGTTAACTGCTTCTAAACAACACATTTCCCAGTCCTTTGTGCCCCTTGCAGCTTCCTGGTGCTACTGCAGGTTGTAAAACATGGGGCTGCCCAGTAAAATTTCCCAGGGAAATTTTCCATCCTGCCTGTGTGTATACATAGAATCATAGGACCACAGAATGGTTTGGGTTGGAAAGGACCTAAAAGATCATCTCATTTCACCTCCTGCCATGGGCAGGGACGCCTTCCACTAAACCAGGT